AACTAGCACTCTTGTTTAAATTTTCGACGAATAAGAGAAGATTTGTGGTTGGAAATAATACGAGTAGCTGGAGGACTACGCAGGGTCGACTGAAGAACTTTCGTGCAATCGATCAGTTTACCGATTGGGCCTTACTGCCGAGTAAGCTGAAGAGATTCATGCCAAAAACGATTTTTAAACACAAGCTGAAAGAGTTTTTACTAATTATTTTTCGCGTTAGTTAGTAGTATTTTTAAATTGTCGAAGTTTCAACGTCGTGTGCCTTTTTTGGATATTTCAGGCGTTTATCACGAAGGTTGCGCGGCGTTTGCTAGTGTTTCGCCGAATGTTGTGGCGGACGAAAGCGTAATGAAGACTGATGAGGGAATGACTATGGAGCAGCGATACACAGTGGTACGTTTGACTTGTTTTGTATGAGTTACATTTTAGAGATCTTAAATGCCATTCTTGTGTAGTTTATCTTTGTCTACTTTTCTCTTTCTCTGATTAGCGGCACTTGGTAGATTTGCTGGAGCATTGTGCGAAGTTTCTTGAGCGTGCTGAGCGATATGAAGTGATGGGTGAGGTGTTCAAACTGGCAATTCCCATCTACGAACAGGAGAGAGATTTTCGGGTGAGTGAATGTGTGCTTTACTATGGGGAATGGTCAACCAAATTAATAGAACTAGACATCGTGCAAAAGGTCTCTGTGGTAGAGCTGAGTTTACTTTGTACCATCAAAACACGTGCTAGCTACCAACTGTCGTCTCAGTCGGTCAGCAGTTGCAGGCATTTAGCGATACACTGAAAAGACCAAGTCCGAAATCTTTGCATTGCTAAAATTGTAGGAGCTTAGCGCTGATTTCCATCAAAAGTAGGACTCGTACAATATCCTTTGTTGATACACATCATTTTTTTTTTCCATTTCAGCGTCTCTCCAATGCCTACGAGAGCTTGGCCAAAGCATACAAGAAGGTTGTAGATGTGATGGGAACTGGAAAAAGACTTCTTGGAAAATACTTCCGGGTTGCTTTCTTTGGACAGGTAACTGGCCCATTGAAGCGCTTCTTAAATCGTTTTTATTTTCTAAGACTCTGTGTCTTTGAACCTTTAATAACAATACAACTTGAATTAATTTGCTGTCATTACCGGGATGTCAGCCATTTCCTTTTGTCCTTTTGTACACGAACTTTTTGTAAACCTTTGTTTTTCTTTTTTTCTATTTTTTTTTCTTTTTTTTTTTAAGATGTTCGGCGACGATGATGGAAAGGAGTTCATTTACAAAGAACCAAAGATCACTGGCCTAGCGGAAATTTCGCACAGACTAGAAGCAATGTACTCCAGAAAACATGGCAAAGATAGTGTCAAACTCATCATGGAGTCTGCCAAGGTGGCTCTCGCACTTTTGATTATTTTATTGACATTGTTTCCTTGCCTTTCTTTATCTTGTTTGCAAGCGTTACGTTTAATATTTTGATGATGGCATGTAATCGTGCACCAAAATGCATGGCCTCGTACATGAAGTCATTTGTGACGAGTCTTATGGCATATTTTTGTTGTCTTCCAAGGTACACGCAGAAACATTGGATTCAAAGATCGGTCACATTCAGGTATGATTTGCACACAAGAATTTCATATGTAGACGTTCTTTTTGCATTCGTGATCATCTAGTTGTTCCTTGGATGTCCCAGAGAGATAAGCACTTTATTTATCCTCTTAAGATCAGCATACTATCAAACATACAGACAGGAAATCTTCATCTCAGACATGTTCTTCTGGTTGAAAGTTTAAAGTTATACTAAAGGACTAAAGGAAAACTTGTATTTCAATGTCAATTCTGAATAAGTTAGTGATTAAAGTTAAAGTGGTTTTTCTTGTTGTTGTTGTTGTTGTTGTTGTTGTTTTCAAAAAAGTGAAGTAACCACAAACCATGTCAACGTGCCCGGTAGAAAATCAACTTTAAATTACCACGTTGCCCAAGGTAAAATATATTTGATATATTCACATCTATTTTGTTATCGTCTGCAGATAACTTATGTCCAGCCTTATTTTGACGACGAGGAGCTTGAAGTCAGACCGACCTTGTTTGAACGAAACAACAACATCAGACGATTTATCTACGAAACGCCGTTTACGGTCGGCGGTAAAGCGCATGGAAGCCTCACGGAACAGTGCAAGAGAAAGACAATCTTAACAAGTAAGTTGATAAAATTGTTCTATTACAACAGCGACAAAATGGTTTCTATTTTTTCTTTGATAAATAATTATTATCAGCGCTAGGAAAGTCATATTAGCAATGCCAAATGGGGTTAAGTAAAGGTTATAAGCACAGTCTATCCATTTATTCGCGCAGACAAACCGCAACGGTTCCTTTAGATACTATCTCCGTTAATGCTCATCTTGTTTTTGTTGGCATTCAATTTTTTAGCGTCGAATACCTTTCCTTATGTAAAGAAGCGAATCCTTGTTGTGCAAGAGGAGCAGTATGAGCTAACGCCAGTTGAGGTGAGGCAATAAATTGCTTGGTGCGACAAACCTTGTCCTGCATGTATCTATCGTCTATCATATCGTATAGAGCGTTTTTCAGTTGAGTGTCGTAAAACCAAAACCAATTAAAAGTAATTATTTACCAATTAGACTACTAAGCCAATCTCAAAGCGTAGTAAAACCAAAACCAAAACCAAAGTAATTGCCTGATTACTTTCGACGTTCTGTTGAAAACCGCTCTAAACCGGTTACTACCGGTTCATTATCGGTGTTATATTTTTCACTTCGAGACGTTCGGAACACTCGACAATATTCACTGTAAACTATTGTAGATAAAATAATAATAAAATAATAATAATAAGTAGTGTAAGTCAGCTTTGAGAGTATTTAGCACTGACGCACTAACAGAGGATACTAAATAAAGAAAAAAAACGCAAATGTAATTACACAATTACAGCTTTACACTTTGGACGCGAGACTACTGAGAACAAATCCAGGTAGTAACAGCATGGAGGGTTTTGAACCAGGGACCTCAAGATTTCCAAGTCTTGCACCCTGTAAAACCTCTCGGCCACCCCGCCTCTCGTAGTTATCTTGCTGTTTGTTAATTTCAGGTGGCTTTCGACGAGATGCAAAATAAGGTCAAAGAGCTAAACAACGTGATTGCTCAAAATCCCCCAGACATGAAGAAACTTCAGCTTGTCTTACAAGGCAGTGTCAGTGTGCAGGTATGGAACGCAAGGAATAACGTTAGAAACATGGGATGTAATATATCAAACACGAGAGGTAGTGTTTCATCGAGGTATTCAAACATCGAGAAGAGAGTTGAAAATACGACGCACAGCGGAATATTTTTGACGAAATTCGAAGAGTTTGGATAGCCGATGAAACACTGCCTCGAGTGTTTGATATATCTTATCAATCGAAACAAAAACTAAGGAGTACACGGAGAAGTAAAAACGTCAAGCTCTATGCTAAATAAGACCGGGTATCCAAACCTCCTTCACTGTTGTGATTTTCTTTGTTTCAACTTGATAATTTATTAATTAGCTGGAGAAGAAGAGAGAAATTTGACGAAAGTGCGCTGAGTCGAAATGTGCGTATTAGCGTTTGTGATCAAAAGACAGAAGGAGTTAAGTTCTTTTTATATCTTTGTTAATAGTCGTCAATATTCGTTCTCGTTGAATCAAGTTTTTAAATGTCACGTTACTTAAGTACCAGCAAGTGTTTTTTGATTGCATTACTTCACAGGTAAATGCTGGCCCTCTAGCATACGCTCAATCATTCCTTGACAAGTCTGTGTTGACATCACATCCTCACAAACACATCGAAAAGCTTCAACAAGTTTACAGGTATGTTCAATTGAAAGAAAAAAATAAAGTCAGTTAAACACGAATCAGAGAAAATTCCTAGCTTATTTTCATATTTCTTATTCATTTGTTTGTTGGTTGGTTTCCTTCTCTTTTTCACTTTCTTGTTAGTTATGCCTCGTAGTGCTTTTAAAACAATTGGAGATCCCTAAATTTGTATTCGATATTTCTTTGATTTTAACCCACTTTAAGTCTACAGGTACTTGTTTTCCCGTTGTTTTTTGTTTGTTTGTTTGTTTGTTTGTTTGTTTTTACGACCTTAAATCTTTTTTTCCCTAATGTTTCAGAGAATTTCTTGCGTGTTGCGGTAAAGCTTTGGACATAAACGATCAGTTAATTAAGGAAGATCAAAGAATGTACCAGGAAGACATGAAAGAAAAATACGCCCACCTCAGGACACAACTTGCCAAGTACATTGGAGACGAGGTGTGTTGTCAAATTACTATGAAGCAATGAGAGCGGTTTTCTTTTGAATGTTGAAAAGTAATTGGTTATGCATCAACTACGCTACACGATTGGCCCAAAAACTTCGCGCCACTTCTTCATCCAATCAAAAGTTAAACCAAAACCCATCGTGACTTGCTCACGTGCATTTTCCCGCGCTTTTCGTCAGTAGGAAGTAATTACTTCGAGTTTTAAATGGTTCACTGTATTGCCTGTCCTGAGTCCTTTGTGATTGGCTAGAGTAATTACATTGGTTTTGGTTTTTCTACACAGTTGAAAACCGCTATATCAATCACTTCTTCAATCAATCACTAGGAATATATCTTAAGTCTCACAGACTAGCTACGATACTTACTTACTACAGTTTATAAGGTAGTTATTAAG